TATATGCACAGTTTATTTAAAGGAAATAAAAAACCCCACCCATATTTTCCTATAAAAAAGAGGTTCAGAGCTGGAGGCAAGGTCCTGATGAGTCTCCTGGTCTAACTTTCAGATGAAATTCCTTGTGTTTCTAATTTGGTACCTAGAGCTGGAAAGTTATCATAGTTGAGACAATACAAAGAGACAGTACAAAGCAGCACACTCCATTTTCAGAAGGCTTCAAACTGTTTTTTATTATAGCATGCATGCTTTTTACACATTCTTAGAGAACTCGTAAGTTCACACTTTACCGCTTCAAACTGTTTTTTATTATAGCATGCATGCTTTTTACACATTCTTAGAAAACTCGTAAGTTCACACTTTACTCATTGGTCATGAGAGACAAAGTGCTTATTGGAATAGGCAGTTGCAGGTTTCTCTTATTTGTCCTTATTTCTTTCTTGGTTTCTATGTCAACGACCTTGGTAGAAAATTCTTTCAAGGGTAAACATGGATCCTCTTATCAAACATCTCTCTGGCTCACAGAAGTCGCTGTAAAACCTCTTCCACAGAAAATCCTTAGGAAGGTTTTACCTGCTTATACAAAGCAACCTGCTTGCAAAGTACAAGTAAAACTAATATTTGCAATAGTTTCAGGGTGTACTCAGAAACAGTTTGAATTGGACTTGTAAAATAGTATCAGATTCTCCATAAACTTTGAATAATGCAATTTTATTTTTCTAACCACGTTAAACTGAAATTATGGTTGAACTGTTAATTTTTAGCTGGAAATAGGTACTTTTTCTTTCTTTAGATGAGTGACAAGTTATGGATGTCAGATGAGGAACAGACAGCTAAGAGTGGGAGGTCCTCTTGTGTCCCTGCTAAGGGCTTCATACTTCTGTGTAACTTGTTAATTAGTATGATCCTTCATATGGTTGTGTTTCAGTGGCTCTTCTATTGCTCTGATTCTGCAACAAAAGATTTATCAGCTGTTTTTTCTCACATTTCCCCAGCATGTCGAATTCTATTGCTTGCACTGTTGTGTGATGTTTCAAGGATCTTGCCTTACTCCACTTCTGATAGAATGAATTTTGTGTTTTGTTTTTATTTAGGTCAACCAATGAAATGCAATCTTCATATGAATGGGAATGTCATCACCTCAGACCAGCCTATATTGCTGTAAGTGTCCTTCAATGGGGAAAAGGTCCAAATGCTTTTGCAGGTTCTATTTTGAGGGTTGTTGTTCCTTGAATTTTCTTTGTCTCTCCTTCTGTGGCACAGTATGTTGAGTGGAGTGCAATGTAGCTTGACTTCATAATGTTCTCAGCCTTGAGGCTCAAAAATAATCTGAGATGACGGTATTTTCTTGTGAGAAAAGCATATTTAAAACCTTTATCTCTTATATTTGTAAGAGGAAAACACTGGTAACAGTAGATGCTGACACAGTGTTAAAATTTATTTATCATAAAGAGAGGTTAAATACTGCCTTTTAAATTTTTTTTTTTAATCCTCCAGCCGATTGAGTGATACCCCTTCAGTGAAGAAGGAAGGGGAACCACGCCGGTCAAGTGCAAGCGCCTCCTCAAATCCCCCAGCTGAAGTGGACCCTGAAACTATCTTGAAGGCACTCTTCAAATCCTCAGGGGTCTCTGCATCTGTGCAGCCCACAGAATTCAAAATTAAACTCTGAGAGGGGGGAGCAAGCAGTGGACTGGAAAACTCATATAAGCTGGGGGATGAGGAAAGTGCAGGAGTGCAGATGTTATTTGCATTTGCCTGTCCTGAAATTTTTTGTTTTCTATGATCGCTACCTTACTGTACAATAGTGTTTCCTCTTGTGTGTGTACTTTCTGTTTTCATAGTTGGAGTTTTCTTCCATGATTTTTTTTTTTTTCCAAGAGAATAACCTTCCCCTTCTGCCAGTAATGTATTACCAAGCATATACCATGTAACTCCATCCTTTACTCCAAAGCCCCCAGTGGCCATTAAAAGTGCACATAGACTTTGAGGGGAGGAGTGTTGATCTCCTTCTGTTTTCTTCTGACTGACCTTTAACTGAAGGGTGCATCCCCTTGGTTGTCCACAGGCAAGAGCACCACGTTGTTTCTGAAGTTGCTGCGCTGGGTACAAAGGCAGGTTGGGCTCCTTCCAGAAAGGACTTGTGTGCATTTGTGGCATAACTCTTCCTTCTGGCTGCTGGACACTTTCCTCTCGGCAGCTGGGAGAAGCGGAGCTGCCCGCGGTGTGCCAGCGGAGGCATCAGGCAGAAGGGATGTGTGCAAGTGCACCGGCCTTGTGCTGTGGGCAGGGGTGTTTCAGCTCTGGTAGTGCCCAGAGGGTTGTTCTGGCATTTGTACAAGGAATATATTTGCTCTGGAGGGTCAGGCTCAGTTGCTCTCCTCTTTCTGGACTGAAAAATTAAGAACTAGTCGTGTTCAGAGCTAGAAGAAACCCAGTTGTGTGATTCCCATTAGATTATATTGCCTCCTCCTGCTGATGCAAGGACATGAGTTTCTTTCTTGCCTTCTAACTCAGCCAGTCTCGTATAAAAAGGAAGGACCTTTGAGACCCTTTTCAGATCCTAATACACACAAAGTCTAATGTCTGAGAGCTTGTTTCTTTGAGATGCTATTTGTTTGGCTGCTGTGCGGTTATGCTGCTGGCATGCCTGGATTTGGAGGATGATGGCTGCAGCGTGTGACTTCAGGGAGAGGTTTAGGAGCAGCGGGCAGATAGTTCTGTGTAAGGAGCACCGGAGAGGAGTGTCAAGTCCCGGGCAGGGTGGCGAGGACGTGGCGTGGACCAGCGAGTGTGTGTGACAGGCCACTAGGTGGCACTTCCAGTACTTCCCATTGTTTGTACCGCATTGGCACCTTGGATGTTGAAAGTCCCAGTAGCTCCACTCGTTTGTGTTTGTTCAGACTGTATTGGAAGAGAGGAAAGCTGAGAGCAACTTCCAGAACCAGGTTGGAGTTCGAACTTGATCCTGCTAGCTGGGAGACTAACCTAATCCATTCTGTTCAGCTCTGCGGAGTAGCTCCTGTAAGTCCAGATTCTGTTTCTTGGACAACCCCATGTTTCTTTTGCTTTCTTGTTCTGTATGAACTTTCTTCTATCTAGCTTGTGCAGACCATTCCTTAATCTCACTGTATCCCTTTTAGCCATGGAAATAATAAGGACTTAGCAGGACTTGTTTTTCTGGAGTACTCTGTTTGGTTTGAAGGCCAGTGACACCATGATTGGTGGGGTGCTTCATGTGAACAGCAGATGTTTGTAGGAGAGGGGACCTAAGACAGCTATTGTTCTCCTTTTTTAGATTGCCCACCAAATACATGTGTTTTAATAAAAAAAAAAAAAAAGAAAGGGGGAGGGAGGGGGAGGAAACATTAGGGGTTGGAGAAGATAATGTATTACCTGTTTCTGAATAAACGTTTGTTATACAGAGAGTGGATTCTAAGCCTTTTTAGATGCTGTGAAGCAACTAAAGATAAGTGGTGGCGTTCCAATATTGAGTCAATCGCGCTTTCTGAGTGAACGTAGACATTTCTGATAATGTGATGAAGAGCAAGAGGAGCTTATGGGTGAGAGAGCTGTTACTCATCCACTTTCTAGTCTGCATCATACAAATTAGCAGCTGACTCCTGCTACTAAATTGAAGCTATTTGTGTCTATGTAATTCCAGTTCTCTTTTTAGAGAGAAAAAAACCCAGCCTTTGTTACTGACAGCCTGGTCATTTAAAAAGTAATTTTATAGCCAAAACAGCTCTGAGATCAGGGTACCTGTTCAGGTGAAGTGGGATACTTTCGTTACCAGCTAGACAGAAAGCTGTGTAAATGTGAAACGTGTTGGGAGTGCGTCTCTTGCCTCTTCTGAAAGAATGGGGAGACTCAAGGACGTTTTTGATTAATAGATTTGTGTCCTTTTGAAAAGCCAAGTAGCAAGATGCATTTTAACTTACTGTTAAACTCTGCCTTATGTTTAGGTTATCTGAGAGTTTATGATGGCATTGACATACTTCCTTGGAAGAAGTACTGTCTGCTCTGTGCCATAGCTCTGTGATCTGTGGCAGCATATTCTTATTTTTTACAAATCTGTGAATTAAGTGGGTGTCCAGACACCACTCCATGGCTCGTCTCACAGCAGCGTCTTGGTGTACAGTGGTGTTCTGGTCTTGGTCAGCTCTTTAATGCACCTTTGCATGGCTGCTTCTGTTGGGCACTGAAACAAGAGCAACTGTTTATTCCCAGTTCTTACCAGGTTATTCCCAGTCCTTTTCAGGTAGTTCACCTTGGCTCTCCAGTTTCTTCTGGACGTCCTGCAATTGTCATGCTAATCATGGCTTCGAACCTACCACCTTCTGTCTACATTTATCATCATGCACCATGGTTATATTTTTGTGTTGTTTTGGTGGTTTTTTTTTTTCCTTCTGGGCTGGTAGAAATATGGACTTGCATATGAAATACTAATTGCCTGCACTCTGAATTAATGTGCATTAATTTAGACATTAAATTAAATGGCTGGCCAGGACAGGTGGTAGATAATTTGTAATGGTGTTTCTTTTGTTTGTTTTGGGTTTCTTTCTTTTATTTCAAAAATGTGAGGACTTCTGAAGTGATGCCACAATGTGCAAGTTTGGTGTATTTTCATGGCTTTTGCATGTACCTTCCGATAATGTTCATTAACTTGATATTTGGTTGGATCAATTCTCCATATCGTGTCATATTTTGTCACCTCCTACATTAGCTTTCAGTATTTTTAAAATGGTTCTGTCTTCCATTACAAGTTCATCTGTAAAGGTTTTAGGGGTTTTTTTTGTAATTAACAAGAGTCTTTAAAAACAATTGCCTTTGAATGTTTCTACATCTCTTTAGGGTTTACTTGCCTCTCTCAGATTAAGGACAGTGCGTGAGTTTTACACTGTTTATACAAAAACATAAACTCAACCCCGGGGCTGCGGCGAGTCCACCCGCCGCCATTATCAGGGCCGCGCCGCGCGTGGGGAACTACAGCTCCCGGCGGCCCTCGCGCCGCCGCGCGCAGAGAAGATGGCGGCCGCCACGGGGCGTGCGGCGGGAGCGCCGGCGGGATACACGGGTGAGGGGCAGCGCGGGGCACCGGGAGCGGGGCCGGCGGGATACGCGGGTGAGGGGCAGCGCAGGGCCGGAGGGATAACCGGGTGAGGGACAGCGCAGGGCCCCGGGAGCGGGATACGCGGGTGAGGGACAGAGCAGGGCCCCGGGAGCGGGATACACGGGTGAGGGGCAGCGTGGGGCACCGGGAGCAGGATACGCGGGTGAGGGGCAGCGGGAGCGGCGGGATACGCGGGTGAGGGGCAGCGGCGTCTCAGAGCGGTGCGTCCCTCGCAGCTCTGGCGGTGAAGTTCGCGGAGCGGCAGCGCTCGCACCACTGCCTGTTGGTGAAGGAGCACCAGGTGCGGGAAGGGGCCGACACCGCGCACCCGCCTCGCCGCACCCTCTTCGTCCTCAACGTGCCCCCGTACTGCGGCCCGGTGAGTGGGGGCGGCTGCGGGCTCGGGAGCCGGCGTGTGCCCCGGCTGCGGCCGGGGAGCCGCCCCGAGAGCTCTGCCGGCTGTTGGAGGGAGGCATCGCTCCTGCTTTGCTGAACCGCGTGTTTTCTCTTACTCTCCCTGTTAAGGACTCTTTGTCTAGGCTGTTCTCTCGCTGCGGGCATGTGCAGTCTGTGGACATCTGTGACAAGCCAGGGCCAGGAGAGAAAAAAGATAAACTGGCGTCCAAATTCTTCGACCACAAAACTCTAAAGGTAAAGCTTGGCAGGGGGAGAGGAGTACTGATGCTTCAGTGGGAAAAGATGGCAAGTACTGAATGCTTCCACAGGAAACCATATGGGGCATTGGGTGACATGATTACTTATTTAAGTTTATACTGTCTTTTTTTTTTTTGCTATCCTGCTGCCTCTTGTGATTTTGAATTTTATTTTTTAAGTTATTTGTACTACAGTTCCTTGCTCCATTACCAATTTCTCTTACATATCTGACTCACCTGGGTGTTTTTTTCTTTCAGGGATTTCAAGTAGCATACGTGGTGTTCAGGAAACCAGCAGCTGTCCAGGCAGCCAAGGCTCTATCACAGGAAGGTCCCTTGCTAATATCAACAGAGAGCCACCCTGTGAAAACCGGCATTAGCAGTATGTCAGCTCTGGCTATCTTTCTGGGCTAATGCTGGGAAAGAACTGTACTCATTGTTTGCTGAATTCTACCCTACATGCCCCATTTTGTTCTAAGCTGGGGGATGTTCAGTGTTTTGTGTTCTTTCATTATCCACAGGGTTGCAATCTTATTGAACTAGCTGTTGAGGTCTGGTCCACTGACCCTGTGGGAGAGTGGGGACACTAGGAAGGGTCCTTTTTTCCTGACATTTTTTCGGTATTGCCTAGATTCAGAGATACTCTCTGCATCTTGTCCTCAAAATGGAGACCAGACTCATGCAACAGGCCCTGGATGCCTGTCAAGTTGACAGCACTTCACATATAATCTCTTGACAGAAGCACAGAATGATGTGCCCCTTTGGCTTAAGGCTAGCCCACTTCTGCCTGGGCAAGTTGCAAACTTTTCCCATGGCACATTGATTGTGCTCGCAGCCAAGTCAGTTTGTGCTGTAACAGGGGGGAAGCTGAACACAAACGGGAACAGTATGTCCTTCCCCCATGCTAGAGTTTGCTCTAGAGCTGCCCAAAAGCATCACACTAGCCTGCTTCTAACAGCAGCTATTGCTGACTTGTGCCCTCTCTGTCTCAGAGTGGATCGCCAGCTATGAGGCCTCCATCGTGGATCCGAAGGAGCTGAAGGCTGAGGTGGATGCCTACATGCAAGACTATGATAAAAAGATGGCAGAGGTGAGGCCAGGCTAGGGAGGGGACCCAGCTAAGCAGTTTTCTTGGGGCAGAGGGAAAGAAGAGAGATTTCTCAGTGCTCCAGCCATAGTGGAAAGGGCTGAGGGTCTCTCTGTTTGGCAGAGGTTTTTTACTCCCAGTTGCTGGTGGGCCGTCACACCCAGGTTTGGTCTGCAACACCTGACCCTTCCCCTAGGGCTTACAACAGATACCCACAAATAAGTTGATGTGCAGTGTTGTGACTGCAAGTTGAATGCCTGCAGCCCTGATCCCATGCCTTCCTTTAAACCTTGCTTGGAAGCAGGAGCTGTAACTTTGCCTGTGTTTAAGGGAGGGCCGTGGGGAGCTGTGCATTAGGCTGTGCATCCGCACTGGGCTGCCTCACCCTCCTGTCCTTACAGGAAGAAGCCAAAGCCGCCAAGGAGGAGGGTGTTCCGGATGAGGAGGGCTGGGTGAAGGTGACCCGGAAGGGCCGAAAGCCCGGCCTGCCCCGGACAGAGGCTGCCAACCTGCGCGTGCTGGAGAAGGAGAAACGGAAAAGGGCCCGCAAAGAGCTGCTCAACTTCTATGCCTGGCAGCATCGCGAGAGCAAGAGAGAGCGTGAGTGTGCAAGTCTCCTCCTACCCCTGCCTGGGTCTTGTCTCACACTGTGGCCCGAAGAGAATCCTTCTGCCTTCAGGGGAGGTGACACCCAGCTGCCACTAAGCAGTCGGCTGGCTGGATCTGAATGGCCTCGTGCCACCACCTGTCCTAGCAAGGGCTGCTGGAGTATTTTGTGGGAGGGTGTGGTTTTCCAAGAGGTGCTTATTCAGTCTGCACAAAGGATTGAAGGGGGAAACGAGCCAATTCCTCCCCAAGAGGGAGCTGCAGCACCACCAGAGATGAACAGCTGGAGCCCCAGCTTGGCACTCAGCTGAGGTGTAAAAGGACCTGCTCTGAAAGTGTGTGTTTGTGGCTGTTGGGACTGAGCCCCTCCGGTGTGTGGAAGTGAAGCTCCCAGGAGAGGGAGATCTGCTGCTCTCATGTGACTTGTTCTTTCTGTTTTCAGACATTGCCCAGTTGAGGAAGAAATTTGAGGAGGACAAGCAGAGGATCGCACTGATGCGAGCCCAGCGCAAGTTTCGGCCGTACTAGGTTGTGCTGAGCTGGTCTTCAGGTGCCTGTGCTGGAGAGGGTAGGACAGATGCCTATTGACTCCATTTGCCAAAGGATTTTGAGGAATTGAGGCAGCTTTGGGTTGCCTCTACCCTTGGATCTGAAATGGGAGAACCCAGCAACTGCTGCTGGAGGAGAGTTCCCTTTACTTGCACCAGCATCCTCCTGCTCTTCTGTCATTCAGCCCCATGGCACCACTTCTCAGGGTGTTCATGTCAAGGGGCTGAGGCACATCCTGTGACAACCTGTATCTCCCTGCCACCCAAAACCACACCTCCTAAAGCTTGGTGAGAACTGGGATTGACCTAGCGCAGCCTCTGCAGGGGCAGGGAATGGCTGAAGAACTGTAAATAAACTGCTGCTACTGTTTTCAGAACATGGGAATGCTTCTTTCTCCCCTCTGGTCTCCTGTGAGAAACAGCTTCCTGTGTGCTGAGGTGGTGGTAAAAATCATGGCTTGTAACCAGGTGCTCCATTGCACATTTTGTTGAAAGAATGAGCAGTGAAGTGACTTTAGGAAAAACCTAACTGCAACTTGTTGTCACAAGGAAAGAGCAGTGGTTTGGTACAGAGCCCTACCCCTTCTCTTGGTGATTCCCTCCCTGGCCAAGTGTTGCAGTGCCCAGTCATCCAGCTGTGCATGGAGCTCTGCAGCCATGTCTAGGCCACAGAAAATTCCTGATACCCAGCACTGTTGCAAGAATAAATGCCACTTTGAGCAGCCTGGTTTGGAAGGAGAAACCAGACTCTCCATGCCCTGTTTCCACTTAACCTGTCCCCAGCCCTCAGAAAGCAGGTAAGGATAGCAGCAGGCATGTTTAGGTGTGGGACAGTGGTTTTGTACTGCTCCTGTAGCATTTGTGCAGCTCTGGAATAGTGGTAGGTCTGTGATCAAAGTAACCCATGCAGTCCCAGGCTTTTACACATTCATTTTACTATCTGCAGCCTCACTAGAGATGTGACCATGGAATGTAAGGTGGAAATGGTGGTAAATTCCAGAGAGCTGAGATAAAATTGATTTATCCTTTCCTAAAAACCGACTGCAAATACAGTTGTGTTGCTTGCAGAGATGACAGGCCTGCCTGCTTCAGTGGGCTCTTTGCATCAATTTAACTGGGAGGCAGATCCTTAATAAGGCCTACCTAAGGCAGACAGTGTGTAAAAATTGCTGCCTCCCAAGATGCATTTTAGCTGCTTGGGTGAGCGGCCTGAAAGAGAAAGGAGGTTTGTTCTCCTGTAGAGTCAAGAAGACAGACTTAACATTGGAACATTAATCTTTATTTAGGACAGAAATTGTCTCTGCCAACTTCTCCATAATTTGTACTTCTTCCAGCTGCTTCAGCTAGAGGATTAAGGATTCTCTAGCATTCATTAAAATGGCCTTCTCTGCACAGGTGAGCTCTTCAAGCAGATTCTTAAAACAGTAGTTCTCACAATGGAACAGAGACAATGAGGCCCTCTGAGCTCAGGCATCTATGGAATTAAGCAGAGAAGCAGAACACATCGTTTTTCAGCAGGTTAAATCCTGGGAGCAGCTGTCCACACCATCCTCAGGAAGGAGGCAAGATGAGCCACCTCTATTGTAGTGCCAGAGGTGGGGAGCTGCTGCTGTCACAGAGGATGCCTCTGCCTTGTGTTCTCCTCTGTTTCAGGGTGCAAGTTTGGAGTAAGCCAAGGGGAAGGCCACTCTGGGCCTCTATCCCTGTACTCACAGAGCTGGAAGTAGAGCAAGGATTCCTTCTCCCTTTGGCAAATGAGATATTTTGCTCAGCTCTCCTTCAGAGTACCCCTGGCAGACCTGCTTCCACCCTGCAGTGAGCTAAGCGTAGGAAAGATTATCACGATCTAATGCTGCATGTGAGGTAGGAATGGTGACAATTCTGGAGCTTGCTTGTTAGCTCCCAGTTCTGAACTGCTGCAGCTGTGAGGGCTTCCTAGAGTCTGGCCCTGGTGTTCTGTGCTGTCAGGAAGTTGCTGATGATCCCAGATACCACCTCGGGCTCGTTCAGGTGCACAAAATGACTCCCAGGCACTTCTGCTAGCTGGATGTGCTGGAGGGAAAGAACACAAGATGTGAAGATGTGGACCAGGAAAGTGATCCCTCAAGCACACTCTGCTTGCTGTGTGACACTCATGGGAAGGGACAGAGCAACTGAGGCAGGACAGAGATGGGAGGACCAGGAAGAGCTGGGTCCAGAGGGCAGTACTAACTCGGGACTTTGGCAGCAGGGACAAAGTTGACTTCCTCCCTTGACTCCACCCCCTTCCCCATGCGAGGGCTGTGCTGTTCAGGACAAGTCGCCTAGTGGAGGGTGTCCACCAAGGTCAGCTGCTTCCCAGCTGCTGCTCCCAGGTTGGTGGCAAATGGAGATGCAAGGATGACGTTTGCTCTCACCTCTTTGAGGTTAGACTCCAATGCCTCCTGCAGGGCTTTCACAAAGTGATTTCTGCTCGGTAGGTTGTGCGGTACCAAGAGCCCATCTTGTGATCTGAAAAACAACAGTGAGGCTCAGTACAGCACACAGCGTGCTTCCATTTGTCTTTGTGGCTGTCCTGGGCAGAATCAGTGTCCCCAATACAGCAGGGTAACAAACCCAACAGTTCTTTCCAGGCTGCTTGTAAGCAGCAGGTGACAGGGTCACACGTGGTAGTCAGAGTGCATTGCACAGCTTGGCTAAGCAGCTATTTTCTATCAAACTAAAAGGTGTAAAACCTTGGGTGACTGCCTAGTGGTATCAGAGTGGAGACTGGCTAAATATTGTCCTCCCAGGGCTGGCTCTGTAACTGGTCTGAAAACATCCTTCCCTGCCCCTGCTCTGCCTTCTGCACTTAACTTCTTCCTTCCTTAGAATTTCAACATCTCCCCTCAGTCCCTTCTGCCTCTCTTTGCTGCTTATTTAACCAAGTTAGGCCCTGCTCAGAGAGGGAGGTACCAGGGCAGTTGCCCTGGAGAAGTCAGCATTAGATCTGCAGAGCTAAGATCATGCTGTCTCCTACTGTGCTGGTGATGGGACAAGGGGACATCCCAGGCTCAATGGCATTTCTATGGCACAGAGGACTTGACCTCAGCAGAATATTACATGTCTGGACAAGCAGATACAAACACATCAGGGAAGTCAAAACTGCACCTCTTTTCTCAACTGCTAGCATTTCTTGTTTTCTAGACAATCTTTTAACAGCACCCCACCAGCCAAGGTAGCCAGAGCCCTGCACACCTTTCCCTCGAAGGAGATGGGAAAAGGCAGAGGATGACTCACAGTACAAGCTGTACACCCAGACAGCTTAACAGCTTGGCAAGCCACTGGCCATGTCCCCAGAGCTGCTTGCCCCAGGTGCCACAGGAGAGAGCTTGCAGGAGCTCAGTTAGACCAGGGGCTTCAGGAGCAGCTGGAGGAGATGGAGACTCTGTAGTTTCACCTGTTTTCTCAGGCAAGAGTTTTTGGGCCTGGAGAAGGGGGCGGGCTGGATTGCTGACTGTGGTAGAGTCAGGTCAGGACAGCAAGTAGGAGTGGTGCTGTGGAGGGTCACGTATTTGCCAGGATGGCCCCTTGCTACAGTGCCAAGGAATGGAGAGTTGTGAGGTGGCATTGTGAAGCCAAGAGCATGGGGAAGATGGGGCAGGACTAATGTTTCCTCAGTCAGCCTTGCACCAGGAAGTCCCAGCCTGAAAGTAGAGTGCCAGGCTGGGAGGATGTTTGAGTTGCTGTCTGCCTTCTACAGGAGCCTGCCCAACCCAGGGCAGTGGTGGGGAACTGGGAAATACTTCTCACTTGTGAAGCTGTACTGTTACACCAGCTGGCCAAAAGTCTGGGTGCCTAGTGTAGATGAAGGGGTAGTGGAGGACTCCTTCCTAGCCTTCATTCCTTCCACTGAGGAAGACAGCAAGGGCTGGTATGGTTTGTGCCTCACTCACACAATGATGAGAACACGGTCCTGGATCTTCTGCAGGAGTTTCACACACTGCTCCACCGTGAAGAATTCTCGACTCTGCTGCAGGTGCAAAGAGAGGGAAAGTGTCAAAGCACAGGGACAGCAGCTGGGGGCAGAGGGTGTCCCCAAGCCCTCCTGCACAAGTGGCTCTGAAGGTAGAACTGTAGCCCTGAAGCTTCCATGCTGACACATGACAAGCGTCCAAGGCTGCACACAGGAGTAGATGGCTCTGCAAAGGCTCCTTCTGTCCAGCTGTGTTTCAGGGCTGCCAACAACATTGCCTGCTGGGCAGCAGCACATATGGGAATGATCTCATAGAGAAAAGCTTTAAAAATCCTTTTACTAAAAAGGAGAGAGTACATAACCCTGGCTTCCATATCCTGGCAGTAGCACAGATAGAGGAGGCCCTAATTGCTCAAAAGTGGCACAAAACTATCAAAATACAAAACCTAAGGACTTTGCTCCACTCCCCTTCTTATTCAGGTCACCTGACAAGCTGACAGAAAGCATCCATCCATGTGCTGCCTGAAGAGCTATAACAGCAGGAAAATGTGGCCAGGAGGCCCTGGGGCAGAGGAACTTCTAAAAAAACAAACAGTAATATTTTCCAGTGACTCTGTAAGCTGAATCAATGATCAAGTGCAGGCTCTTTTAAAAGCAGCATTTAAAGGACGTGTGGGAATTCGGGAAGCAGAAAGTAAGCAGCTGGGTGGAGGCAGGGCCTAGCTCAGTGAGCAGGCATCCTCTGTCTGAGTGTTCTTAAGCTCAGGGCTCCAAAGTAGCAAGGGGCATGTCAGAAGAGCAGTGCTCACCGTACGGGCTCTCATGTCTCTGTTATACACCAGCCCTGCAAAGAAAAAACAGAAGTTTTTCTTAGGAGCAGGAATTGTTCTGTTTTAACTCACTTTTGGGGTCTGCCCAAGATTTTCTGAGATGGGAAGAATAGGATTAATTCATATTTCTCCCTTTTTTTGACTTATTTTCTTTAGCTGTTCTAGGATTTGAGCACCAAACCCAGTTGCTGGGAATGGAGAACTCTTCCTCCAGACTTAATTGATCCCATTCAGGCTGTGTAAATCTGTAGCTAGGGCACCCTGTACCCTGCAGAAGACAATGGCTGTTGGCATCAGTCCCTTCCCACACCCAGCAGTGGCCCAGCACCACACAGCCCCTTACCAGCGGGTGTCTCAGTTGCTCCTCGCTGCAGCAGGATTGCCCCACCCTCTGCTGTCAGATGGCTGTTTGCTTCTAAAAGCCTGAGGGAGACATGGCAGAGAGATTGTGATGCTGGAAAAAGGGAGGACGTGAAGCAAAAATGCCATGACAAGGTGACAGTGAGCTCTCAGGCTGCTTCAGGAAGAAGCAGCAGCTTCTGGCAGCAGAAGCAAAAGGTCTTGCTGGGATTCCAGAAAAGGACTTGAAAGGTGAAATGCAGGGATGGTTTTCTTTTCTCATTTGTGCAGCTGTAACTCTGTCAAGGTGAGGGCAGGCAGTAAATGAAGAGGATGGATGGGAACCCACCTCTGCAATGCTGCTTCGGGGCTCCGTGCTTTGGGAGTTTGCTGCTTTGCCTCCAGACTCAGTAGTCTGTCAATAACCCTCCGTTTTGATTTCAGCCATGCCTCAGTGTCCTGAAACACAGAGAGGTAGGGAAGAGGAGTAACCCCTTTCTTTTGAATTATTTCACCCCTTACTGGAGAGTGGAAGAGGGACTTTCACTCTTCAACATAGAACTGGTATCATTTATGGGTATCTTATTAAAAATGCCCATTTCTGGGAGAAAGTGAACATCAATACTGTAATTAACTTATTAACTTTTTATCCTTGCCATCTTTTCTAACCCTTCCTACCTCACTTCTGAGTTGAGGACAACTCTCCAAAGTTTGGTATTTTTTGTCTCTCTGAGCTAGGGCTTCTGTCCTACTACTGCCACTGAAAGCTCCAGCATCTGTTAGCAATGATGGCAAGTTGGGAATGTAGCTTCATGAAATGCCAGCAACAGAAAAAAATCTACCAATCTTGTACCCAGGTCACCCAACAAGATGTTGGCAAAAAGATAACCTCAGCTGGCAGTTGCCTAGACAGAGGTTCCAGTTTCCTTTGTACGAGGGCTTGGCACAGACAAGCAAATTTCAGTGCTAAGGGACTGCACGATGTGGAGCTCTACCAAGTGTGCCCCAAGGGCCACCCTAAGGACAAACTTCAGTCT